AAATATATTTTTTCAATAAAAATTAAAAAAAGAAAAGAAAATATACCAATTAGAAAGTTTACAGCTTTTCGCTGAGTGCAGCTCCTAATACCAGTTTGTTTGCGGTCAAAAAGTGCACTCATGCGAAATTTATCAGAGAGTCGGAAAAAAAACAAAAAATAAAAAAAAAAAAGTTTTTGTGGCCTGAACTTCTGTGCTCAGTCACTAACATGCCACCACGTGCTCCACTCTATTGCAGCCGCTACAATGACCCACAGCCGCTGGAAGAGCCAAACATAACGAATGCACATGCCAAAGTGGAGCCCATTATTAAGGAATCAAAGGCGAGTCCATTGATGTCATTTTTGGCCAACATGAAAACGGGCACAAAAGTGTTCCAGCACTTTCTATCGAAATCCAATCTGACACGCATTATGGATGATAATGCCTATACGGTGCTTATACCGTCGGACAATGCCTTTCAGCGCTGGCATCCCATCGATTGGGGCTTCTATCCATTCAGTGTGCCGGAGTTCACAGAGAGCGTATTGCGTAATCATTTCCTGCCCATGCAGCGGCCCCTACGCCTCTCCGACGTCAAGAACATGGACCAAATGGTTGTCCATACTATGGGTGGCGAGAATGTCGTCTTCCATGGCCAGCGTGAGTGCTTGAATTTCAATTATTTTTTTGCGCACTAACTGAATGTTGGGGGTGTGAATTTGCATTGCGACTAACCTTTGACCTCTATGCAGCCACGCCCACTGTGAATAATGTGAGCATTATGTCTGATTATACGCTATCCAATGGCAATCAGGTGTTCATTATATCCGAGGTGTTATTTGTCTCCGAGGCTGTGGTTTCCAAATTGCATCAGGTAAGCCAAGCACACGCACTCGCACACGGACACACACATATGCACATATAGTTTTACACCTACGTCCCACCTTTGATGTATGAGCTAAAGCTTAATAAACTTGCCACAGATGCACAAGGATAAGGAGACACCGCCGCTATTGGCATTCCCGTGGTTCGGCGCACAATTTCTATCGCACTCGTTTCTGGCCTTGGAACGTGATTCGAGATTCACGCAAATTACAAGGTAAACCTGAATACCAATTAAAACTAAAAGTCAGTTAACGGTGAGCTGGGAAAGGACGACGACAAGGAGTAGGTAGAGAATTTAGTGATGAGCTTGAGAGCTCTTGATTTTAGGAAGTAATTAAGACAAGAAGTAAATTTAAGAACCATTTGAATTAAATGATAAAATACATATCGATAATTTAAGACATATTTATTAGTTTTCGAGAGCAAAGATAAATAATTTTGAGACAAGCTAAGTAAACTAGCAAAATATGATTTATTGCAACTCTGAAGCATTGCTTAAAACATATTTCATCTAGAGTTAATAACCCATATCGTGCTGTTTTATAGTCATAAAAATATGAGAATCGATCATTCGATTTGGAGGGATGGATTGATATTATATCTATAATATACCTATTTTATTTACATATGTATGTATCTTTTGCTTTTAATATACATATATACATATATAAAAATAACCTATACTATAATATTTAATTTTACTTCATTTAACTGATTTATTTTTATTTTAAATTCCGAATGTTCTCATCTCTACCCATAGATATCTGAACAATGCGGAAATAGCGCCCCATATCTCCGGCGCAAATTATACGTTCTTCGTGCCTGAGGACAAGGCATTCGAGAAAATAGGATTCGACAGACTCTCCGATGATGTTATGGCAAGTTCACTCAATCCATTAATTATACTTACCTAAAAATAATACTAATGCCCAATTTATAGGCCTCGCAGCGTGGAATTAAAATGCTACTGAATCACTTTGTGCGCGGACGTCTGTACAATCGGGACTTGAGGGATAATGAGGTGTTCGAAACAATTGGCGGGGGTCATCTGAAGATCACACGCAATCCGGGCAGCAATTATACGAGCGTGAACAATGCACAGATTACGGAGAGCGAGGTGTTTGTCTATAATCTGGGCACCATGTACTATATAGACGACATACTCTATTCACATATGCTGCGCGATCATATTACCAAATCGACCAAAACGAGATCGGATCGAAATGGCGGCGAGGCCGGCGGAGGATCACGGAGCACCATGCGACCCAGCGATGTGGAGATTGTGCCCAACGAATTCGAGAGCGAGCACAATGGCGGCGACTATGCCATCCATGGCGACGACGAAGACTTTGAGGATGAGATAATAACGCCAAAAGCGTTGCCCGTCCAAATCTACGAATTGCCCAAATAGATTGAGTTCGATTTGGATTGAGTGCTGCGCTAATCTGAAGCATATATATACATACATATATCATTTGATCTGAGTGGGATTCTTTGCTATAACATATATATATATGATTATGTGGGTGTGTCGACGCAGTGCGAGCGTTTTTGTATAGTTCTCAGCTAACTTTTTGTAACGTATTTTTTGTGTCTAGTTAGTTTTTAGTTTTGTGTGTC